GGGGATCAATGCCCCCCACAGTGAGGGAGGGATTGGGGTTCGAGTTGGGGCTGGGACAAGCTGCCTAGCCAGGGCAGGGGGGCACAGGACTTAGGGAGGGGGCTCCCGCCACTGTGTGGTGCTGGTCTGGGAGAGCATGGGAGTGGGTGTGTGCCCCTGGATCTGTGCGTGGTGAGATGAGCCAGGCTGTGCTCTGGATGGGCAGTGGAAGGCGTTGGGAGTGGGGGCTATGCCCTCCCACTGCTCACCCAGCCTCCCTGCAACTCCCAGACAAGCCGCGGCTTCACCCCAACTGAGCAAGCAGTAGCAGGGCATGGGGGTGGGCACGTGAACTTGGATGAGAGCGGGGCTGGCGGCAGGGGCTATGGGGAATTTTAGGGTGGCTGCAGCCCCCCCCATAGCCTCCAGTCTACTGTGCTCTGCGGGGCGGGTGGAGCCCGGGCTGCGCTGCGGGCTGGGGCTGGGGCTAGCCGCCCAGAGCACAGCCCTGGCTGCACCCACCCCGCAGAGAGCAGCCAGGGCTCTGTACCCTGCGGAGTACAGCCTGGTGGCGGGCAGCTGGGGCTAGCCTCCCAGAGCGCAGCCTAGCCCACCCCGCCCCATGCAGATCCAGGGGCACACACCCACTCCCGTGCCCTCCTGGACTGGCAGTGCACAGTGATGGGAGCTCCCTGCCTTGGCTGGGCTGCTTGTCCCAGCCCCAGTCCCTCCCTCACTGTGGGGGCATTGATCTGCCCCCCCCCCACACCTCTTCCTTCCCCCTTCCGCCCACCAAAATAGACTTACCAGCTGGAGGCAACTGTATCCAGAGTCCTCAAGGACTGCTGCCTGTTTAGTCTATGGCTGAATATCTGGATCGTCACCGATTCAGAGCTTTCTATGGGTCTCCCGATTTGATTTGAATTTGTAGATTTAGTCGCCGAATCTCCTCCGAATCGAATCAGCTACTGAAGCTTCACACAGCCCTAATGAGACTACTTATGCCATATTCCACAAGGTTAATGTTATTGTAAAACTTCACCTAAAATTTATCTACTAGGTGGTAACTTATGTTCACATAAGTCTGTAAACTGATGCCAATAACTACTTGTTTTGCTTAGTTATAACTTAGGTGGAGTGAGGCTGTACACTGTGAAATGTTACCATGAAGAAAGCACAAAGCCTAATTGTAGATCTTCCCAATTATTTATAGCTCACAGAGAGAAATCCCAGGGCCAAACCATGTTGACTAGGAAGCTATCTAAATGGATTATGTGTTTTAGAATAACTTGTTATGATCAGGCAGGAGTCCAAGTACAAGATGGATTGATTTGCTTTCAGCCAGAGGTATGACCACATCAGCTGCCTCTGTTTGGAATGTGTCTAGTCTTGAAAATGTCAAACTATCGATTGAGTTGAGTCTATGCTTTCACAACATATTAGTCTTTTTAGCCTCAAGCTAGATCAGATACTGTACTGTATTGAGAAGGCACTGCTGCAGTCCCAGCTCTCTTAAACACTTATTTTAGATTCAGTTGCTACTACTTAGGTTAGGGAATGGCAGCCTTCTGCTGACACGGGCCAATGCTCATGACCCAACCATTACTGTGGGCCAGAAGTCTTCCTTCTTCCCCCTTCTGAGCAGCTAGGTGCCAGATTCCCAGCCCTGTCACAGGAAGGGTAACCTCAAATGTCATGGAGATCAGACTTTGAAGCATTATGGAGCAGATATGTGGCACAGTGCAGCTCTGTGAGACTGATCCATATCTGGCCTCCACAGGCCTGATTGAACCTCTTTGTGAGTAAGAACCAGCACAGGGGCCATAGGTTGCCAACCCCTGGTTTAGACATTTAAAAGAGGGGGTTTGCAGATATAATTTTATGGTTGAGATAGGTAGTGAACAGAGTTGCTTAAAAATACAGTATAAGGAGGACATTTGCTTCAAGGTCGCCTACTTCTAGAAGGTTTTTCTTTTTATCTGAGGGGCCAGTCGATGCAATCTAGCATCCTCCTCTTTCCCATCAGTACCCTCAGTGGGTGCTATTAGTAGCTAAATAACATCTTAAACCCTTGAAATGTGTTATCTGAAGCATAAGTTTTCCTACAAGACAAATCTCTCTTAGTTAGTATTGCCCAGAAGTACCTCATGTAGTAAACTCAATTTTACTAGATGACCTCCTGAGGTTCCTTCCAACCCTAACTTTCTATGTTAAATTCTCTTTTCATTACTAATTAAAAGCAAGAAATTAAAACAAAAATCACACAACACATTCTGCCATATCTCAGATCAGATGGAGGTGGCCAGATTTAAGTATCTATTCCTTTGTTTGTTAACACTATGGAGTCATACTTTACAGGCTTAAAATATTTGGCTTCCTTTCCACCTTTTGCAACGTCAACTTTCTGTGTCTCTTCTCAGACAGAGAAAACAACCGGGTCAGGCTCATATTTCAGTTCTCATTCACTATCTTAATTATATATATTAAAATTCAAATTAAAAGTGTTCATTTTAATTCACAGAGGAACTTCTGTCATGATGTTTTGTTAAGCTGTGTTTTTTAATAATTATATTTTTGGGGATAAAAAATAGGACAATATATATTTGAAGGGAGAGAATCATCCTGAAAATCAGGCAATTGTAAAAAAGTTAAAAGTAATTTGAATCATGATAAACTATTCGAAGTGTCAGTGTGCCCCAGTAACAAACAGTATACAGACAAGCTCTCCTAGACAGCTGAATTCTCAAAACCTTCTTGCCTTAGGAAATCACTGCTGTGGCAGAAAGGATAAGCCAGAGACAGCATATTATGAATGTTGAGGCTTTTAGCCAGTCTCCAGCGGGGCATCTTCATATAAGTTAGCCTTGTGAACCCCCTGCAGCTCAATTTCAAATGTTATTGACAGTAGCAAAGTGTATCAGCCTCTGCGCTTTAAGCACGTGATAATAGTCTAATGCTGAAAGGGTTCAGAAAATCCCTGTCAAATCCAACTTCGATTAATCTAAAAGAACTAAAAATAAGTATTAATTTTGGGAAAAGTAGATTGTTGTTAAGCATTTTAGATGGTATGTGTGTTGTTGTGGACAACAGTGCAGAGAATATGAGCAGTGTATTTCTGCCAGGTGCCTCCACTCCACATCAATCATGGGTTGGTGCGAGTCCTGGTGGAGCAGCATAGTACCCAGGGAATTCATGGTGCCCCACATCACCCTGCACCTCCATACTGGGACCTGCACCAATCCACGTTTCACATAGAGGCGCAGGTCAGTTCAGGTCCTGGTAAGGAGGCGCAGGGTGGCACAGGACCTGGGAATTCCCAATGTGGAGGCATGGGGCTTCCTAGGTCCTGGTGTAGAGGCACAGGTCACCAGGGATTCCCTGGATCCTGCGCCAAACTGTGCCAGGATCCCTACCGCTCTATCCATTTCACTCATATCATACATGTGGGCCCTGCACATGTTCAAAGTAAGGCTGGGCAGAAACCAGCTATAAAGTTATTACACATTTTCAAGCACTAACTTTGCAAGCTGGTTGGCCCTTTTTATAGAAGGATAGACATTTTTATGGTGTGAAAATTACTTTGCACATGTGATCGGTCTAAATCTGTTGCTCCATTAACCAGTTAATTATGTGATAATTATTTCATATGTATAGTTCGTCTAAATTTATTACACAATTAACTAGTTAATTGGTTAATATATGTTACATGGGGCTTATGATGTTTTGAATTTTTTATTGACTTTTTGGGTCTTATAAAGAGCTATGAGTGTTAAAACCCTATTTTTTCACAATCTTTTTATTTTATGTAAGTTAAACAAGCATATTCTTGTCATGTATATGGCTTGTGTCCTGAGAAACTAGTTTTGCTCATGTACTATTTACTTTTGAGTGTGCATTGCCATGGGAGCTATGGATATATTGTCAAGATTGATTTTGGGAAAGGTCACTAACTGGCTTGTTCAGGGGTTTAAATGTATTCTTGGTGGAGGACCTGAAGTGTTGACCTTATTTCTTTGGGACTTTGCTGGAGGATAAACTTGTATCCTAGACCTAGAGTATGTGTAGATAATCACAAGTGTCATACCTCTGTGAAGTCTCCTGATAATAGTAATACCTGCTGTAACTGCTTGACAACTACTAGCAAGGATTCACTAAGTCAGCCACCACCTGTACAGTTCTTTTAACAGAATGTTGTGTTTCGCTACTTGTATGTATAGCACCCCCATATTCCTAGTTATGTTTCCAAATTTAATTAAAAAAATAATAAACATCTCCTGTGAAAGGGCTGTAGTTAATCGTCTTATACATCATTCTTGTGCATTATGATTTATACTGGTGACCACCCCCTCCTGCTGAATTCAGGAGCATGGAAGGAGTAGAGGGGACAAGTCAGGCTGCAAAGGGCAGCCCCTCTGTGCCTCTACCTGGTCTGCCTACCTGCAGCAGAGTGCTGCTGAGACCATGGGGTGGGGACTGGCATAGGGGCTAGTCCATCTCTGGGAAGCCAGGCAGCCAGGGGAAGGCAGCAGTGGTGGTGGCACCAGTCCCCAGAGGAGCAACCACAGGTGCTGCTGGAGTAGCTGGGGAAGACACAAGGTGCCAGATGGCAGAGGAGAGCATGTACCTCCTCACAAAGAGGGGTGGGGTGGTACAGGATCTCATAGCACACAGCACAGCTTTTGGGAATTACTGACTTGGATATTGCAGGCATAACTTTTAGGGATCTGAATCTTTTCTGTCTGGCAGCTTCATTTGGGGTTCTTCCAACCCTCGTTTTTCATCTTGCCCTCTGCTTGTTTTGGGTCTTGTAGGGTCTCTTCTGTATTTCATGTGATCCATAATGAGGGTTAAATTCAAGACATTGACTTTTAGGAATGAACTTGTGCCAGGTGGTTTTTTTCTGATCAGCGTGATGTTTACTAATTTTAATTAATTTTGTGTCTTAAGTTTTATCCTGTTTCAAGAGAAAGTTGTTGACATAGTCTACTTCATACCACTTCTAACTACTTTATTTATTGTAGCTGTCCACTCAAGGAGATGCCAGCCAGGTGATTGGCCCGCTTACTGAAGGGCAGAGAAGGAATGTGGCTGTAGTGAACTCGCTATACAGACTGCACCAGTCAATGCTGAAGGTAACTTTCACAGAGCTGAGCTTCTTGCCAGTAATTTTGATTAACTGGTTTTCTTTCTCAGGTTTACCCAGCTTTGAAATTATGAGAATTCATACAAATACTTTCTAAAAATTGTTTGAGCAGCAGTATAGAATGACAGTTGTGTGGATAAATGAGGATTGTATTATAACTGTGGAATGCCGCTTGATATATTAGCATATATCTACTTTTCATTATTTGGTTTTTTTGGCTTGCTTGTACTCTTGCTCTTATTATTATGTATTATTTTATCTGTGGTCTGGTAAATTAGAAATTGTTACAGACCTGGATAGAGCATGGATTTTCACTTCTATCTCTTGAATTTATGTGGCTAAACTATCAACCATGTGAGCTATAATAATGATGAGTGGTCTGATTTTCAGTGAGGTAGAGGAGTAGTAGATGATGCAGGTTTCTTTATCTCACAGTGCAAAATACAGCTGGTATCACTAGAGGTTGAGTAATAAAGTGACCAGTTGACTCAGGCAGAGGCAACATAGGATAAAATGTCATTGAATGTGTCACATGAAATTTCTGTAGATAGAATGATGGCTGTTTATAAGCATGGCAGATATATTTAGAAGATGTGTTTTCTAGCATGAGAAAAAAACAAGAAAGAGTTTATGATGGATGTTTCCGAAACAGGGCTAGAATATGAAGGCAGAGTTGGTTAAAAATCAGTTTATCAGTATTGGGCAGTATCGCAAGCTGCACTTAGTAGACGTTAAAGGCACTTAGTGTGAGCATCTACCCATTCAAGCAGGAAAACGCATGCTAAATGCATTCATATTATAACAGACTTATAACTTTTTGGATGAGGAGTATCTGCAGATCATATTAACTAACTTGTGTTGAGCTTGTGGTGGGCCAGTTGGGAGCGCTCCTGCGTTGAGCCACCCACCTCACTGCGCCTGACCACCTTCCAGGCTCTGAGTGCCTCCCTAGGGGTGTCTTGCATCCAGCTGACCTACTTCCTGGAGCACACTCGTTAGCCTGGGGGTAATGTGTGCTGTCACCACCCCAAGAAGGGACTCTGTCAGCCCTGTGTCCTTGGGGAAACATAGGCCTAATAGTCTAATGGGTACTCAACCCAGTACAAGCACTTGAGG